AGCGGGCTTGTAAAGATCACAGCTGTTGGGTTACGCCAGAGTTCATATCACAGCTTATCAAAGAGGCTAGCTTTTCTCCCTCCTTTCCTTTTCTCCTGTGTATAAGTGGGGTGGTTCACAGGCAGACAAGGCCTGGATTTGTTCAGCTAGCATTAGCATGGAGGGTGGGAAGAAGCCGGGGGAGGGCAATGCACACCAACACCTACTTTAGGCAGAGTTGGTTTAATGGGGCCTGGCTGGGCGCTGGTGGGTGCCCTGGCCACTGGGGCAGCAAAGCTAGCTTTTAGGACACAAGGCTTAATTATCCTACTCTCCCATGAAGCTTGTTCCTGTTCTCCACAGACCACCAGGGGAAGTGGAGGCCATGCTCATGTCAGGGGCTGGAGAGCAGTTTTCCTTCATCAAATATCATCAGTACTGGGGCTGGAACCCATTCGAGCTGACTCAATCTCATCTCTCATCGTAGAATGGCTAGATAGGCACCATTTAACATTTGTGTTTCATGGACAAAGCAGGAAGGATTTGGAGGCATGCCACATAGTTACAAAGGTTACATCTGTGAGGAATTGGGATTTGAACCTGTGCTAGCAGGCTAGTTTTTATGTCAACTTAACGCAAGCTAGAGTCATCTGAAAGGTGGAAACTCCATGGAGAAAATGCCTCTAAGACTGGGCTGTAGGCAAGCCTGTAGGGCATTTTCTTAATTAGTGACTGAGGTGGGAGGGCTCAGCCCATTGTGGGTGGAGCCACCTCTGGGCAAATGGTCCTGGGTTCTGTTAGAAAGCAGGCTTAGCAATCCCTTTGAGGAGCAAACAAGTAAGCACTAGTCTACTGTGGCCTCAGCATCAGCTCCTGCCTTCAGACTCCTTCCCTGTTTGATTTCCTGCTGACTGCCTTCGATGATGAAGTACAATGTAGAAGAGTAAGCCAAATAAACCCTTTCCTCCCTAGTTGCTTTTGGTTATGGTGTTTCATCATAGTAAGAGTAACCTGAACTAAGAATCCAAGCCTTCCTCCAAATGCCACACACTTCCTTAGGCTTTGAGGGTGTGTGGGCAAGTTTGGGGTACCCTGCCCCATGTGTGCCATCTTCCCCCAACTGTGGGCTGGGCCTCAACTTCTCTACAACCAAACCAAAGGAGGGGCCTAGACCTGAGTTAGGGCTTGTGAGGCTGGCTCCCTCAATCTCAACTCATGATCAAAATGACTATGTCCACAAGGTAAGGAGCTGGGTGGACACTGAGGCCAGGATGGAATTCTGGTCTTCCGTTCCTGCCTCTGGTTCCACATCAAGGTGCAGTCTGGGTACAGCGTGGGGGGAGGAGACTGACAAAAATTCTCTTGGTGCTGAGAGCCCACTAGATATTTTTTTTCAAGAGCTCTGGATGCCTTTGTCTTCCCACAAATGGCAGCTGCCCTGGGGCCTAAACACACCACTGCACAAATAATGGCTTCTAACTTGTTCACAGGAGCAACCTTTTATCTTTATCAGTGTGCAGAATTAGGGACCAAGAGGAACAACTGGACAGCTGAAGGAGGGGGTTGATGTGTTCCTCATCAGGCCTGTGGCTCCATTAGTGTGTGTGCCATTAGCAAGCCCTTCCTGCCGTTCTTTTTTTGGCATGAGGAGGCCAGAGGTCAACACCCAGTGTCTTTCCTTGAGTGCTTTCCACACTTATTTATTTATTAACATAGGGTCTCTCACTGAACCTGAAGCTCAATCAGTTTGGCTAATCCAGGCAGCCAGTGAAGTCCAGGGATCTACCAATCCCTACACCAAACACACGGTCATGCCCTGCTTTTCTATAGGCTTTGGGGATATGAACTCAAGCCCTGGTGCTTGAGCAGTATGTACTTGACTGAGCCAGTGGAGCTCAGGCTTGTTTAGGTCACTATGTAGCCTAGGCTGGCCTTGAACTCACAGCAATCCTCTTACCTTAGCTTCCCCAGTGCTGGGATAACAGCCAGGAATCACAGTACCCAGTTTTAGTATATTCCCTCTTTAAAGCTATCAGCAGAAAAGAATTATATAAACGAAGATGCAGGATGACAGCCAACCACCCCACCTCATTGAAGGTCTTAATCTCTTGTGCAGGGAGGGAGCTGCAGATCTGTGTGCCCTCAGAGTCCACCCTGGGTGTCTGAGACAGTGAGTAGGGGATGGTCAGCAGTGGCCCAGCACTGGCTTGGGAGGCAGCAGGTTCTCAGGTACAGGTTTTGTGGCATGGTGGCAGAAAGCTGGATGTCTAGAGCTAAAAAAGGCCAAGTAGAGATCTTAGTGAAGGATTGTTGTGCCAGTACCCAGGGATGAGACCCTCTGTGGCTGTGCTGGGTGGGGTGAGAGGCCTGGCCTGGATGACCTATCAGAGCCCAGCACAGTTATGGAGGGAACTGAACTCTGAGCAGCAAGTTATTGCCATGCTCGACATTCCAAGTCCTCAGAGGACAAGGAGAGATGACCCATGGCCCTGCTCTTGAGTCCTTTGAGGAGCTGGGATCATAGTTCTGGCCCCAGGTTCCTTAGCATGCACATGTCCAGGAGTCCTTGAGGTTCCAAGCTCTGTCAGCTACACCAGAAAGACAACATAGTGGGTGCTGAATTAGCAGTCAGGAGTATGCAGCCCAACTCCAAGCAATCCTAGCTGGCACACTGCTTCTTAAGCACACCTTTCCCTTAAGCAAAAATGAGAATTCTTATCATTCCCAGACACTAGGAAGCCAGCAAAGTTTTACTAAGCAATAACACATAGTGATCTTCCCCTTTTGACCAATGAGGTGAAGAATCTGTTTGTAGTGGTGTCATGCACTCATCAACTGTGCTCCTGCCACTTCAAGACTAATAGTGGTTCTCAACTGGTACATTCTTGGGCCTCAAGCACACTGAGTAGATGCTCTACATCTGAGCTACCCGCCCAGTCTTTGAACAATTTTGATTGTCCAAAATAGGAGGAGGCAGGTGCTACTTGCACCTGGTGGGTAGAGGTTGGGGGTGCTGTTTAAACATCCTATAGCTCCACCACAAAGAATGACCTGGATTCAAATGCCCACAGTACTGAGGGCTGATAACCTCTCCAGACCACAGGGACATCCTTTAGGTAGTTCAGACATCAGAAGCCCCTTCCTCCTGCTGCGGTCCTACTATTCTTTCTGTTCTTTTTCATGACTTAGTCCTTTGGTCTAGTTCCCAGGGTATCTTCAACTCTATTCTCTGACCTGAATCTAGCCTGTGTTTTCCTCCAGCTTGCAGACAGGCCTTTCCATCAAGTTCTCTCTTCTCCCCTTCCCTGTCTTGTCCCCATCTCCTGGGCTCCCTCTGTGGCTGAGCAGGCTTCGGCATCAACTTTCAGATCTTCTTCAGGGTTCATCTCCCCCCACTGCCCTCTCCCAGCTTCTCTTACCTCCACTTCCTTCCACCTTTCTGGCCCTTCTCAGCCTCCTCTCTGGCTTCTCCCTTTGCCCAACCAGTGTATGTGAAGCTTCTTAGGGCTCAACCTCAGACTCCTTCCCTTACTTGGCTCCTTTTATTCCCTAAAAATGAAAACTCTACAGGGAAGAACCAACCAGAACCATACTTTGCGCAGGACTGGTGCTGAGTAATTATCTGTTGACTGAGTGACTACACTATCTATTTCCAGACTTGCAACTTAGAACTAGGTCTCTCTTTGATGCATCAAACTGCTGCTTTGACATTTTACTTTTGATGTTCTCAAAGCAATTCAAACTCAAGCATGTGACTGTTATCACTCTGATACTCTCAGGGCTCAAGACCTGAATGCTGTTGTGACACTTCCCCTTGTCCCCCCTACACTTCATCCTCAGTCAACACTGCTGCCCATGGCCAATCTCATCTAGACCACAGCATCTCAGTCGCCTACCCGTCTTAGCTTTCTAACTCATTCTTCCAACACAGCAACCTTTCAGACCAGAAATCTGTCCCATCACTCCCTCTCATGTAGCTTCTTACTGACTGACCTCTAAGTAAAGTTAGGGACCCACTTAACTGGGTTCTTTGTGCCAGTGCCCAGGGCTAAGAAACCCTCTATGGCTGTGTTGGGTGGAGTGAGGACTGGTCTGGAGGTTGGTCTTGAGGCCCTCTCAGACAGAACTCAGCATAGTTCTTGAGGGGACCGAGCTCTGAACAGCAAGTGACTGCCATGCTGGATACACCGAGGCCCCAGAGGACAAGAAGAGGATCTCTGAGTTCTGCTCAACTTTGTGTTCAGTTTCACAGAGAAATAAACTCTTCATGTGCATTCCTGCCATCAAGTTGTCTGTGTAAACTGGGGCTCTGCTGGGTACCCAACTCACCCACCCTTGTGGCCACACAATACTGTCTGCTCCCCAAGCACCCTCAGTCACATTAAGAACCCCAGCACTTGAAGTTTTGATTCCACTAAAACCACCAGGTAGGTTTTAATAAGCAGACCTAAGACTTGCTGCTATAGAGCATCTAGGACCATTTGGATCATTCTGGAAGGCTCTTCCACTTGGCTTTGTTGGGAAGTCTGCAGGAATTTTTGTTCTTGATTGAGCTTTCATTAGCCGAAAGTGACGCTGGGCACTCTTCTGGTGACACTATTTTATGATGTTGAGGACAAGACAAAGGAAGTCCCATGCATGGGATGACAAGTTTTCAGACCCGTCAACTCAAGAACCTGGTTTCACAGAACTTACTAGATCCTGTGCTAGTTAGTAGTGGGGCTCCAGCCTGTGTCATGTTCTCTCTGGCCCACTTTCTTTCTGCTTCAAAAGAACAATGGTGGCTCTTATGGAGAGGGTATTTTATCAGAAGGGAAAACACTCCGTTTCAAAGAGCTGCCAAGGACTACCTGCTTCACGTTGGCACCACAATCTAGCGAGGGAAGCCTTCTTTATTTCTTCCAAGAACAATGCAAAGGTCAGGAAAAGGGGAAGAAGAAAGAAAGGAAGAAAGAAAAGCAGGTGGCTACTTTGCCACCATATGCAGTGAGAGATTCAAAGCTGAGGTAGATAGGGCTGACCTGATGATGAATGGGCCTCTGGCCTCCAGGAGCTTCCGTTCACTGCTGAATGTCTGCAGAAGGTTGATCATGAACTTGTAAAAGTAGGAGTTCATGGTGGGAGTGGAAGGAGAACATTCTAAGCCTTTGGTACCTGCAGAAAAAGGAACAGTCAGGATTTAATCTGATTGTGTGTCTACTGGGTGATGAGACAGAATGCAATTGTAAGTGCCATAAGTGTGCGTGCATGCGTGCGTGCGTGCGTGTGTGTGTGTGTGTGTGTGTGTGTGTGTGTGTGTAAAAAGATGAAGGAAAAATCTCCAACCAAGGGCCACAGACTGGAAGCAAGGGCTATATGATTATGTACAATCAGATACAATTTACTGGTTCACTCCTCCATCGAATCCCATTGCACTCAGTGAACACCTCATGGGTAAGACCGCCATTAGGTGCTACAATAAAAACCAAACAGGACCTGGAGGGACAGCTTTGTGGTTAGGGCATGTACTGCTGTTGTGGATGACTTGAGTTTAACTCCCAGCACTTACACTAGGCAGCTCAAAACCACCTATAACTCCAGGGGATGTGACACTATCTTCTGGCCTCCAAGGGAATCTGTACTCATGTGCACATTCCCACACATAGTTACACACACATATATGCAGTACAAAATAAAATAAATCTTAAACAATAAAAAACAAATGAACACAGTGGCGAGCTACTATCCCAACAAATTAGATACTTTGCACAATTAAGATAATCAGTGGCCAGAGAATAAAGAGGTTAGATAGACAGCTGGGCATGGTGGCACACGCCTTTAATCCCAGCATTTGGGAGGTGGAAGAAGGTACATCTCTGAGTTTGAGGCCAGCCTGGTTTCTCAGACAGAAACTGTCTGGAAAAACCAAACCAACCAACCAAAACAAACAGTATCCCTAAAAAAACAAACAAACAAACAAAACCCACCCCAAACCAAACTAAAACAACAAAATAACCAAAACAACAATAACAAAAAAGGATGGTAGGTGCAACCTCTCCATGGCCAACAAAGCTAACAACCTCCCATGAGACACAAGATAAATTCCTTTCCTAGTGCTGAGAAAAAAAAAAAAATCATGCACATAATGACTGGCTAAAGACAACAAACACCAAGCAAACAGTGACTTGTTTGGATCCTCACCTAGCATTGGGAGATAGGTTAAGGTGCTCTTTTAGGGTGGTATTCTAAAGCCTGCAAAGCCCTAGCTGGCTCTTTCATGCGCCTCAGCTGAAAACAAGCCTCACACCACCACTCTTCCAGCCTGCTCTTCCTTATGTGCCCTTGGTGAAGCTTCTGGCACTGAGGAACGAGGAAGGCTGATGGGATGCTGGGCTTGTTCTGGTGTGGGCTAATCATATACCCCACAGGATCCACCGTCCTTTCTAATGTGGCCTAGTGCTGGAAAGGGGTGACAACGATGGTGGGATTTCTCAGTCTGCCCAATGCAATACTGGGACATCATTGTTAAAAACACTAGCTTGATTAGTCTCATCCTTGCCCCATAAAGTATGCCTTTTAAAGCATACGATTTTCAAGTTTTCAGAACATTCTTCATTGCACAGAAACCACCACTAGCTGTGGAATACTTTAATTATCCCTCTACTGGAATCCCACTAGCTTTACTTCTTAGTCTCTCCTCCAAGCCTTGAGAACAAATCCTTATCTATACACTTGCCTATTTTGGACATTTTGCATGAATAAATGAAACCCAATACGGCTTCTTTCATGTAACATACATTCAAGACTCATCCTGCTTGTGTATATCCATTCTTTATTCATTTTTATGGCTGAACAATGGATACACCATATTGTATTTGTTAATTCATCAAATGGCGAGTACTTGGTGTCCACTTTGTGGCTATTATGAATAATGCCGCTGTAAACAGTCATGCTTACAAGTCTGTATGGACAGTTTTTTCTTTCTCTTGACTATACACCTAGGAAAGAAACTACTGGGTCATATGGAAACTGTCTGGGTCCTGAGGAACTGCCAGACCACTTTTAAAGTGGCTACTATGGAGGCTCTACCTTCTCTATGCCCTCTCCAGCATGTGTTATCTGCCTTTCACTATAGCCATCCTAGTGGATGGGAAGTAGTGTTTCATTGTGGTTTTGAGTTGTAGTTTTTAGTGATGGTGTTACTCATGCTTATGGTGCCTATGTTTATCTTTTCTGGAGAAACAACTACGCAACTCCTTCGCCTATTTCCAAAACTGAACTATTTGACTTTTTGTTATTAGAGTTTCTCATATATGTGGGTTCTTATCAGGTAGGTGGTTTATAAACATTTTCTCCTGTTCTGTGGGTCTCTCCCCACTTCCTGCCAGGAAAGCACTCCACTACAAAGCTATATCCTAGTCCACTTTCTTGATACTGTCCTCTACAACAAAAATATCTGGGCTGGGGACTGTGCTCAGTGGTAGAGCATTTGCCTACTACTGTGTTCAAGGCCACTGGTTACATTCCCAGTATTGCATAAAATAAGACAACTCTTGTGGTGCTACGGGCCTCATGGGCGCATGCGAGGGGGCTTCTACCCCTCTACTGGTATGTACCACCAGTCCCACGGAACTTTATATTTTGGTTAAGTCCAATATGTCATTTTTTTCTTTGGCTGCTCATGCTTTTAAAATAGTAGAGTAAGTAAGGCCAACTGAGGCAGCAGAGACTGTCAGTTTCTTAACTGGCCTCTCTCTGGTCTAGAAGCCTCTCTTTCTGAAAGAGCAGGCAGGTACTGGCACAAGGTAGGCAAGAGGGGTTCTTGCAGATAAAGTTTGTCTGTGGGAGTACACACAGCCTCCAGAAGCATTAGGCCAGGTGTATAAAAGAATGTACAATGGGCTGGAGAGATGGCTCAGTGGTTAAGAGCGCCGACTGCTCTTCCAGAGGTCCTGAGTTCAATTCCCAGCAACCACATGGTGGCTCACAACCATCCGTTATAAGATCTGGTGCCCTCTTCGGGTATGCAGATATACATGGAAGCAGAATGTTGTATACATAATAAATAAATAAAATCTTAAAAAAAAAAAGAATGTACAAAACCACCCAGGGCATTACAACAAGTCTCTCAGAGGAGCTGCTGGTGGCCAGTGGCTACAGAAGCACTGAAACACCCCAGGGGTTGTGTTTTCTCCTGATCTTTATAGGGGAGTGGCTGGGAACTAGAAGTTATTTTTTGTTTGCCTGTCCCCCAGCTACAGATGCCTTAAAACCTGTCATTCTTATTCTTTAGGCTAACAGACCCTTTACCTCCAAACCCTGTAGCTTCAATCCCAAGACCTTTCTACATAACCCTCCACACTTCCAAATCCTGCCACTCCAAATCCCAAGACTCTTCTAGACAACACTCTCCATCCAAGACCCTTCCAGATAACCCCTGGGGAACTGCCTCATTCAACTTTCTGCTGTTTGTACCGCACTGTTCTAGGTCCATGCTGGGACAGCCTGGTTAAATGGCAAATCGTCTTTGCTCCCATAGGGGCTGTCTGCAGAATCAAGTTACAGATGAAGTAACTCCATGCCCAGCTGGGACTGATTTTAGAAGAGATGGCTGAAGACACAGCTGTTGAGGCAGTCCCACCTCACCATCCTCACCCACAGGAGATACATCCAGTGATGGCTGTCATGGCCTGGCTACCCACCCCACAGCCCCAGGGACATGTGTACAGGAATCTAGTTCACTGTAAGCTTCTCCTGGGGCATATCTCTGCATTATCTGGGTCCCTATCTCCTTCCTGCTTCTCTATGTGCACCCCTGGGCCATCTCATTTCCAGGCCTAAGGCCACTAGGTTTCAAAGTACTTAAAAGGACAGTGGGACCAATGAAGAGAGTAACCACAAATAAGTCCTCCCTGGCTGTGGCTATCTGGGAGCCTTAAGGAGCTGGGTACTTTGGGAACACTGGCATTCCAGCCTCACAGGGACAAGGGAAAGAAAGCACCAAGCACACTGCTTGGCCTCAGTTTCTTCATCTATAGATAAGGGCAGTAAGAGTTCCTAACAACTGAGACAACACATGCATGTACTGGACAAGGCATGCCACAAGTCTGTGCTCAATAAATGGGGTGAGTGTGACATCAGCAAACATCCCTTGTCCTGGAGCACTGTGTGGGGCAGTCATTCCCTGCTGAACAGGCTGGAAATACGGGGAGAATTAGGGTCTGAAACAAACGCACAGAATTCTGTTGGGATATTTCAGGGAGGAAGGAGTTCTCTGTGCCTCACTCCCCAGGTCAGCTGACAGACTGGCCAAAGATAATGGGAGAGATGGCTTGGGGTTACCCTGGTTACCATGGACTCATCTTTGCTCCTTTAGTAAGAGCTCTCACTGTTTCAAATGGACTCTCAGTGTCCAGGCTAAATGATGGTGGCTTCCAGTGGAGATAGAAAGCACATGGGACAAGAGATTAGTTCTTATGAGCAGTGTCCTCTGTGTTGTTCATAGACCACACACAAGAAAAAGCCAAGCATTCCCCAACTAGAGCCATGTGCCTTTCCCAAGACTTAGCTGACAGGAGGCTTAGCTGTGACAGTTTAGGGTGAGCCATCCAGAACCCCAGATTGGCCTGTATTGAATGCAACCATTAGGAATAGAACCTCTGACCTTAGAATCCCACTCACTAGGAAGACCTCTACTCCCACTGAGAGTTGGGAGTTGAAGGCAAGGGGAGCTGTCAGTGCTCACTGGTGACAGGGTCAGGCTCTGCGAGAGCTCTCCCCACCAAGGTTTTCCCTTTTGCCCAACCTCCTCTGACCCCAGGAGCCTTCAGGCCTGCTGTCTGGAGAACCCAAGAAAAGAGGCTCTTGTAAGACTGTTGATATACAGCCTCTGTTCAGGCCTCCTCTCAGAGATACTGACAGGCCCGATGGGACACTGTCTATGAATCTCCAGCTAGCAAACTTGTCCATGCCATTTCATCTCACCTGAAAAGTGAGTTTAGATCAAAGAAGTGCCACATCCTGCTTGCTCTGTACCCCTTCCCTGCTGTCCATCTGGGAATCAGAGAGCCTGGCTGCAGCCTCCTCATCCTAAAGAGGCATATGAAGATCCCCTCTTCTGCCACGTGAGCACCGATTTTCTTTTCTGCCATGCTGTCTCTCTCTGCTGCTGGGTC